ACGCTCGGTTAGCGCTTTCCTACCGGCTGCCCCACTCCCAGCCCCGCACGTTCCAGCGCACAGAGACCCATTCACACCGGACCCGGGACTGACCCGGTTCTCAACAGACCCCTCCTGCCATGGACTTTTGTTCCTGGGGAAAACCTAAATCTGCTTTTCCTCTGCCCATCAAGTCTGCCCAGAATTCCCCGGCCCTGGTCTCAAATCCCTCTTTTAAGTCTGGAAGGGGGAGCTTGCCTCTGACATTTATAAAGACGTCACAGAGACCCATTCACACCGGACCCGGGACTGACCCGGTTCTCAACAGACCCCTCCTGCCATGGACTTTTGTTCCTGGGGAAAACCTAAATCTGCTTTTCCTCTGCCCATCAAGTCTGCCCAGAATTCCCCGGCCCTGGTCTCAAATCCCTCTTTTAAGTCTGGAAGGGGGAGCTTGCCTCTGACATTTATAAAGACGTATTCTGAGCAAATGTTGAGAAGCCAGCTCTTCTGAGCAGCGCCCGGCCCCCGCGCCCCACCTCCGTGTCAAACATGAAGGATATCTCCCTGCTATAAGACTGGCCACTGCTTCCCCAGAGCGGTGGTTATATAGAGATCTCCCCTTGACAATTTAATCTCTCCCTGTCTGTGTGTGTGCTGCCTATGGACGGGCTTTGGATAATATCTCCGGGTTCTCTTGCCAGCTCTGATGAGGGTACCATGTGGAGCAGGGAATTGCCTGCCATATGGCTATTTGTTTTCCATCTGATACTCCAAAATATTGCAACTATGTTTGAACACAACTCCTTCTCCCCGGCTGGCTCCCTGCCCTTTGCTTTCCAGCCCCTTTCGCGCCGGAATCCTTCGTTTCCCGAGCCTCCACACTTGTCTTTTTGAAACAAACCCTCCCACCTGCGCTCTCTTGAGCGTGCACACCCGGACTTTGCAACAGGAGGGACGGCCGTCCCCCAATGTGGGTTTTGCCCAGCGTCTGGCAGGACGGCGGCTGGGCTACTGAATACACCTGCCCCCCTTTTCGAGCTTAGGGATGCTAACGGCTGGCACCGTGGGCTGGGCCAAGTCAGATCCGGTTCTTGGTTTACAAAGCAAAAAAATGGTCCTTTTCTGTCCATGTGGGCACGTGGATAAGTGGTGCCCAGCGGTGAAGCCCCCACAGGGCTACTTGCCAGTAAAATAGCCAAACCATTTCTCTGCCTAGCCTTTTGGCTCTGCTTTGCTTCGCCTTTCTGCAGCCTGCAGGATCTTTCCCTCCAGACCTTCCCCCTTCGGATGATAGACCCAGGCTCTAGGGAAAAACTAACTTTTCTGTCTGCCTCATGGCCCATGGGGCAGCCCTCAGGGCCTGCTCTCCCCAAACCTCCCCTTCGGCCAGGCTCTCCGTTGGGCTAGGGAGCAGATCCACTGGGAACCAGAGGTTCGAAGCCACCCCAAAAAACAAAGCGAGAAGAATGAGGCCACGTACCTGAGCTTGTAAGCAGAGAACAAACAAGTGCAATAACCTAGGAGGGGAGAGAGAAGAGGTGTGAAGCGATCGCTTTGAAATGGAGCCGAAATACCCGTGGCGAAGCCAGGGAGGGGGCTGCGCCGGGCCGATCCAGCCGAGGTTACTTACAAGTAGCTCGCTACCGAGGAGGAGGAGGGCTCCATGCCGGGGCCGAGCGGTTCGCCAGAGCTGGCGCTTTGGCAAAGGGGGGCGCTCGGTGCCGGGGGGCCAGCACGGTCCGTCTCCTGGCGTCGCACCAAAAAACTGTCCAGATTCCGCGGCCGGGGGCGGGCCCTGGCCCAGCCGCGAGGCCCCAGAGAACAGGCACAGCTACCCCCTGCAGAGGGGAACAGCCCGGTACCCCACCCAGAGAACAGGCACAGCTACCCCCTGCAGAGGGGAACAGCCCGGTACCCCACCCAGAGAACAGGCACAGCTACCCCCTGCAGAGGGGAACAGCCCGGTACCCCACCCAGAGAACAGGCACAGCTACCCCCTGCAGAGGGGAACAGCCCGGTACCCCACCCAGAGAACAGGCACAGCTACCCCCTGCAGAGGGGAACAGCCCGGTACCCCACCCAGAGAACAGGCACAGCTACCCCCTGCAGAGGGGAACAGCCCGGTACCCCACCCAGAGAACAGGCACAGCTACCCCCTGCAGAGGGGAACAGCCCGGTACCCCACCCAGAGAACAGGCACAGCTACCCCCTGCAGAGGGGAACAGCCCGGTACCCCACCCAGAGAACAGGCACAGCTACCCCCTGCAGAGGGGAACAGCCCGGTACCCCACCCAGAGAACAGGCACAGCTACCCCCTGCAGAGGGGAACAGCCCGGTACCCCACCCAGAGAACAGGCACAGCTACCCCCTGCAGAGGGGAACAGCCCGGTACCCCACCCAGAGAACAGGCACAGCTACCCCCTGCAGAGGGGAACAGCCCGGTACCCCACCCAGAGAACAGGCACAGCTACCCCCTGCAGAGGGGAACAGCCCGGTACCCCACCCAGAGAACAGGCACAGCTACCCCCTGCAGAGGGGAACAGCCCGGTACCCCACCCAGAGAACAGGCACAGCTACCCCCTGCAGAGGGGAACAGCCCGGTACCCCACCCAGAGAACAGGCACAGCTACCCCCTGCAGAGGGGAACAGCCCGGTACCCCACCCAGAGAACAGGCACAGCTACCCCCTGCAGAGGGGAACAGCCCGGTACCCCACCCAGAGAACAGGCACAGCTACCCCCTGCAGAGGGGAACAGCCCGGTACCCCACCCAGAGAACAGGCACAGCTACCCCCTGCAGAGGGGAACAGCCCGGTACCCCACCCAGAGAACAGGCACAGCTACCCCCTGCAGAGGGGAACAGCCCGGTACCCCACCCAGAGAACAGGCACAGCTACCCCCTGCAGAGGGGAACAGCCCGGTACCCCACCCAGAGAACAGGCACAGCTACCCCCTGCAGAGGGGAACAGCCCGGTACCCCACCCAGAGAACAGGCACAGCTACCCCCTGCAGAGGGGAACAGCCCGGTACCCCACCCAGAGAACAGGCACAGCTACCCCCTGCAGAGGGGAACAGCCCGGTACCCCACCCAGAGAACAGGCACAGCTACCCCCTGCAGAGGGGAACAGCCCGGTACCCCACCCAGAGAACAGGCACAGCTACCCCCTGCAGAGGGGAACAGCCCGGTACCCCACCCAGAGAACAGGCACAGCTACCCCCTGCAGAGGGGAACAGCCCGGTACCCCACCCAGAGAACAGGCACAGCTACCCCCTGCAGAGGGGAACAGCCCGGTACCCCACCCAGAGAACAGGCACAGCTACCCCCTGCAGAGGGGAACAGCCCGGTACCCCACCCAGAGAACAGGCACAGCTACCCCCTGCAGAGGGGAACAGCCCGGTACCCCACCCAGAGAACAGGCACAGCTACCCCCTGCAGAGGGGAACAGCCCGGTACCCCACCCAGGGAACAGGCAGAGCTACCCCCTGCAGAGGGGAGACAGCCAGGTACCCCAGGCTGGACAGGCAGAGTTACCCCCTGTAGCAGGGGCATGGCCAGGTACCCTATCCAGGACACAGGCAGAGCTACCCCCTGCAGTGCGGGTACAGCTGGGTACCCCACCTGGGACAGGCTGACTACCCCCTGTAGCAGGGGCACAGCCAGGCACCCTGCCCAGGGAACAGGAAGATCTACCCCCTGCAGCCAGGGTACCCTACTCAGGGACAGGCACAGCTACCCCCTGCAGCAGGGGCACAGCTGTGTACCCTACCCAGGGAACAGGCAGAGCTACCCCCTACAGCAAGGGTACAGCTGGGAACCCCACCAAGACAGACAAAGCTACCCCCTGCAGCCAGGGTACAGCCAGGTACTCTACCCAGGACAGGCTGAGGTATTCTGTGCAGCAGGGGTACACCCAGGTAACCTACCCAGGCGACGGACACAGCTACTCCGTGCAGCGGGGACAGAGCAGGGTCCCCTACCTGGGACAGGCAGAGCTACCCCCTGCAGCTGGGGTACAGCAGGATCCCTTCCCCAGGGAACAGGCAGAGCTACCCCCCACTGCGAGGGTACAGCCAGGGACCCTACCCAGGGGACAGGCACAGGACTGGCACAGCTGCCCATTGGGGGTATAGGGAGGGGCACAGATCTGTGCAGCACCCCAGAAAAAACACCAAGATCCATTTAAAAAAAAAAAAGCCTTGGAACAAGTCACCCTGAGCTAGATAGGGGATGCTGGAGAGGAGCCAGCGGGGCAGCCGGCTGGTGGTCTGATAGCCAGGAAGACGCAAGGCTGGAAATACGCTGCCCACGGAGCCACTTGTGGGCTCCCCTAGGCTCTGGTCCAGGTGGAGGGTCTGGGCGGAGGCTGGGCCCAGAGAAGGGAAGCAACGCACCATGCAGGGTGCTACGGAGGTGCTGCCCCACACCAGCCCATGCCCAGAACTACCCTGTGCCCACCCCACAGCCCCTCTCTTCCCAGGGAGGGTTCCCAAAACTTTCTCGCCCCAAACCCAAAAAAGCCTTTGGGGGTCAAGGGCTGAAAGTCTCCCGGGAGCCAGAGACGCTGCCCTGGCAGCAAGGCCCCCCCCACTGGGCAGCGCTACCCGCCCGGGCTCTTGTCCAGCAAAGCACTTCAAAGTACCTGCTTCAAGTGAAGTACCTGGCTAAGTGCTTTCCTGAAGAGGGCTGGTGTCCTCAGCGCCCGCCTGTCAGCGTGGCGGGAGAAACAACCGCTGGGGGGCCGGACCCCCGGACCGGGGGCAGCCCCACACGGGCGGGAACCCGGCCATGCCCCAGGGCCAGCCCCAGCGCCTGGCCCGTTCCCCCAGGCTGGAGCGCGCACCCGGCCCAGGCTGCTCCCTGTCTTGTGGATTGGGGCAAGTGAGAGACACTAAAAGGATTAGGGGGGAGAACGAGCCTCTGGGAGCAGAGAACGGTCAACAAAGAAATCAGCTGGAGGGCCCAGGGCCTTCGGGCACATTCTTTGCCACGCGCCCCCAGCACACACACGGCACCAGGGCTCAATAGCCCCTGTGACAAGCGGTGCCTGGGGGCTGGGGCTGACCACACAGGTCCTCAGGGGTGCAGGACAGAGCTACCCTCTGCAGCAGGGGGGACCCTACCCGGGACAGGCAGAGCTACCCCCTGCAGCAGGGGGGGCCCTACCCGGGACAGGCAGAGCTACCCCCTGCAGCAGGGGGGGCCCTACCCGGGACAGGCAGAGCTACCCCCTGCAGCAGGGGGGGCCCTACCCGGGACAGGCAGAGCTACCCCCTGCAGCAGGGGGGGCCCTACCCGGGACAGGCAGAGCTACCCCCTGCAGCAGGGGGGGCCCTACCCGGGACAGGCAGAGCTACCCCCTGCAGCAGGGGGGGCCCTACCCGGGACAGGCAGAGCTACCCCCTGCAGCAGGGGGGGCCCTACCCGGGACAGGCAGAGCTACCCCCTGCAGCAGGGGGGGCCCTACCCGGGACAGGCAGAGCTACCCCCTGCAGCAGGGGGGGCCCTACCCGGGACAGGCAGAGCTACCCCCTGCAGCAGGGGGGGCCCTACCCGGGACAGGCAGAGCTACCCCCTGCAGCAGGGGGGGCCCTACCCGGGACAGGCAGAGCTACCCCCTGCAGCAGGGGGGGCCCTACCCGGGACAGGCAGAGCTACCCCCTGCAGCAGGGGGGGCCCTACCCGGGACAGGCAGAGCTACCCCCTGCAGCAGGGGGGGCCCTACCCGGGACAGGCAGAGCTACCCCCTGCAGCAGGGGGGGCCCTACCCGGGACAGGCAGAGCTACCCCCTGCAGCAGGGGGGGCCCTACCCGGGACAGGCAGAGCTACCCCCTGCAGCAGGGGGGGCCCTACCCGGGACAGGCAGAGCTACCCCCTGCAGCAGGGGGGGCCCTACCCGGGACAGGCAGAGCTACCCCCTGCAGCAGGGGGGGCCCTACCCGGGACAGGCAGAGCTACCCCCTGCAGCAGGGGGGGCCCTACCCGGGACAGGCAGAGCTACCCCCTGCAGCAGGGGGGGCCCTACCCGGGACAGGCAGAGCTACCCCCTGCAGCAGGGGGGGCCCTACCCGGGACAGGCAGAGCTACCCCCTGCAGCAGGGGGGGCCCTACCCGGGACAGGCAGAGCTACCCCCTGCAGCAGGGGGGGCCCTACCCGGGACAGGCAGAGCTACCCCCTGCAGCAGGGGACCCTACCCGGGACAGGCAGAGCTACCTTACCCAGGGGAGCATACAGGGAGCCAGCAGCAGCAAACGAAGCCCCTGAAGATCCGTGACCACCTCCCCAGATGGGCTGTTTACCCTCTGCTGCTATCTGAAGCCCAAACACAACAAACGGGGGTGGAGAGGGATCCCAGCGTGGGAGAATTCGGAGAAGGGCACACCTTGTGTGCGGGGTAATTCTATCCCGGCTGCCAGCTGATAAGGGCCTGGTGCAGCCCCACGCACTGCCAGAACAGGCAGCGAGAGGGGGCGTGAGTGCACTCACCTTCAAATCCAGCCTGGTGCTGGCTGGCAAAGGGAAGCGCCGCTTCCTTGCAACGACCCCTCTGACCTGCCGACCTGCCAGTTTCCAGGAGAACAGGGAAGGGGGAAGGCAGAGCAGGGTGGGTGTTTCTAAACGGCCGCCCATCACCCAAACATGCCCTGCATGGCCCCCCAGGGAGAGGGCCACTCCCGCATGACAGCTGTCAGTCACGGTGCCTAACGCCCGGCGGGGGGGCACTGGGCTCAGCGGGGCCCGGGGAGGAGAACCCGCCTCGGTCACAAGGCCGTGGGGAAAGACGGGCGAACGAATCGGCACGTCCGGCC